CCTCTGTTCAAAGCTAGCCTGTGTTTCAGGGCAGTGCCTCCAACCCTGCCCCCACCTCCCACCTTGACAAAAATGGAGATGCCTGCTCAAGAGGTCTGGGATGGGATGGGGCTCGGGGTCGCCAGGCAATGCTGATGCTGCACATGCACAGACCACACTCAGGGTAGCCACATGCCAGATAGAATCTGCCCTCCCTACCACCCCTGGAATTCTCCCTGCCTCACTAATCCCCCTTTTTCCAACACTAGTCTGTTAGCTGTAAGAACTGCATTCTCAATGGGGGCTACAGTGCCCCCAACAGAGCAAAGCTTTGTTCATGGGAGGGGTGAAAAAACCTTGCACTTGTATATAAAGAGATGGTTTAGAACCTGCAGAAGAGGGCCATGTGGTACAGACAACTGGCCAGAATAGGTGGCAGGCGGCTAGGAAGGGACACATGGACACATATATCACTCAGTTTTGTCATCAGGCAGCTAATGCTGAAGCTTTGGCACTGGAGTGGGAAGAGGGCACAGTATATCTGTGGAATTAAAATTTCATGAGATGAAGGGTACAATTAGGAAAAATAAAGTATCTAAAAAGTCTCCTTGGACAGGGCAATAGTGAAAAAAGGTTGAGAAACACTGGCCTAGGGAAAATGCCCTCTGCCCACTCCAGTGCCAAAGCTTTAGCATTGGCTGCCTGATGACAAAGTGAGTGATATATGTGTCCACGTGTCCCTTCCTAGCTGCCTGCCACCTCTTCTGCCCAATTGTCTGGACCACCTGGCCCTCTTCTGCAGGTTCTAAACCATCTCTTTGCCCAGAAGGCACAGTGCCCACCTGGCTGGCCTGTTAACCTTATTGGCTAACTCTAGTCCCATGTGAAACTGGTACATGCAAAACTCAGGTATTATAACATGTGACATTTTAGTTATTTGGTCTAAATTACAAAGGGTCATAAATATGATCCTGAGTGCAGAAGAGCTTGTTTAATGTATGAAGTGCATTCATACCTGCTGCCTTGGGAAGCAAACATCGGTATTGTGATTCATCGGTAAGAAAACCATGACCCAGGGGAATAGGAGGATTTGCTCCCCCACCCAAGTCATACACACACAGCAGAGTTGGCTTTCCTGACTCACAGTCCAGTGCTCACCCATTGTCCCATCTTTCCTTGTGTCCATCAGAATGGTGCTGGCTGTTTGTTGGGAGCTTTTAAATAGGTGGGCTGAGTGCACAAGGCAGCCAGGAATGGCCTCAGAGAAGGCTGGGCTCCACAGGGCTCTGTGATGGAGGCTCTGAAGTTGCCTCCCCTGACAGGCCAGGAGGCCAGCAGGCCTTAGGGGCTGGTCCATGGTGCCTATTGCCTCGCACCTCAAAGGAGAAGCAGTACAGAGCAGTGAATGTAGGCTTTGAATTTAGACAGATGTGAAAACTGAGTGACAGCTCTGCCATGTACTAGCTCCCTGGCTGGTACCCAACTTCTCTGGACCTCAGTTTTCTTGTGTAAAGTAGAGGTAATGAGAGTGACAAGTTCATAAGATTGTGAGAATTGAGTGACACAATGTGAGGCTCTTAGCACTGTGCCCAGCACATAATAAGCAATCAAGAAATTGAAGGAGTTGGTCCTGATAGCCTCAGGAATTTCTCCAAAATATCAACTCTACTTGTTCAGTACCCTGCCCCTGAAATTTCCCAAATTCCCAATGATCTCTGAGAATTTAAGAGGAAACAAAATTGCTTTCTATGGACTTCTATGGACTTTTCCTAATGCTAAAATCCTCACCTCTTCCAAGAAGTCCTCCTGAGAGCCCACACCCTTAGCAGGCTTGACATGGCTACTCTCCCTGTCCCTATCTCCAGACCCAATGGCCCCCTGAAAACACCTTTTCTTAGGCCTGCCTTTAATAGCTGGATTTCCCTCTCCACCCCTATTTCAGTTGGTCATTAGTCAGACCCTGTTAAATGCACAGTCTCAGCCCCTATCCCCAATTGGGTGTGCCAACTCTGCAGGTAGACCCAAGTCCAATCACAGGCCCTGCACAGTGAGAGCTGTGTCCATGTAATTGGTCTGGCCTGACACCATCCCTGTGAGGCCATTCTTGGGGTCAGGGAAGGGCAGAATCAAGGAAGAGAAGGCAGAGGCTAGATCCTGGGGGAAATTTCACACCCAGGCCTCAGATAGGAAACGGTAACAGGTGACACTTGTAAAACACAGAGCCTGTGCTTTCTGAGCAAATAGGCATGGCCATAAAAATCCAAAGCAAATGAGAGAGGAAGAGAAGCAGGTGCCACAGCCCCAGAGGTGAAATCTGCTTCCCAAATATCAATTCCCAAAGTTTTCTGGAGGGTTTTCTGGAGTCTTTTCATGGTCAATTTACATGTGATGGCATCAAACCTTCCAGGCAGCTTGGTGGGTGATAGAAGCTGGGGCTATTGTCCTCCATGTCTCTGAGGAGCCCTGCGCCCTCCAACTGAACACTCCCCCAGATCTGGACAGAGGCATGGGGAGCACCAGCACACATGTAGGCTCAGGACCCATCTGCAAGGCAGGTGCTGTTATTTCCTTTCACCAGATGAGAACACAGAGGCTCCAGTGGTTAACCAACAAAAGATGTGGTAGCACCAGAATCTGAACCTTCCAAGTGTAGGTCCCACTCCAAGTGTAGGCCCTCCAAGTATAGGTCCCACTCCATTATGTGACAACTCTATCCTTTCAAATAAGCTGCGTCCTAAAATGTCAACTGTGCCCCAAGAAAAACTGCCAAACACCCAAATTGTTACTGCTTTTGTCCGGGGTCCAGTTCCACTTGGCTGTCTCTGGGTGTTTTCTGGCTCTGCTTCTCTGCTCTCCGTCTAGCAAACTCCCCCAGCAGCAGCGGAATGCCCTACATGCCAATAACTGTGCTCCTCTCCACCTTAGGACAGGGGACTTTGTGAAGAAGAACAGACCCTGCTCCACCCCATCTTGACAAGCTTGACACTTGGAGGCCAGAACCCTCAGATTCTTGCTCTCACTTCGGAGCTGCAGCCCCAATACGAAAGGCAATTCCCACTGTAGCCAAACCAGGCTTTGAGTGGTGAGAAGGCTGCCTGCTTCTCCCAGCTACCTACCTCATCTGCATTTCCCACCCCGTCTTCCTCCTCCTCAGTCTTGCCTCCTGGAAGCTCCCTACTCACCCTCTCTCTGGCCATACTTCCCAGCTTCTCAGATCTCTGGGCCTGAGAAAGGAACTGGCACCTCAGAGAAGCAGAGAGTCTGCACCCCAGCGGTGGCAGGCAGGCACCCAGTTCAGCCTGACATGAGATGGAGCTGGGAGCCATCCTCCCAGAGAAGCACTTCCAGAGGCTGAAACCCAAATGCCAAGTCTGCTTTTGCATTCCCCAGGGTGAGGGCAGGAAGATAAGTAATTACATTCTTGGGCAGGAATTAGACCAGAAATTCTAAGCTGAGGGCTGGGCAGGGGCCTGAACTCCAAAGATGTGAGGAGCCAAAAAAGAGAGAGGTAGAACTCTGCACTCCCAGCCAGAGGCAGAAGTGCAAGATGACGTTCCAGCATCAGCAGAAGGGCCCAGGAAGCTGGTGTGGTCCATGAGGCTGATGGCGCCAAGTGCAGGCCCTTACCAGTGCCTGAGTCCTCCCTGCAAGATCCTGGCCTCCTCCAACCTCCAAGGTAGCCCACAGGCCAGCCCCACAGCCCTCTGGGCTCCACTGCGTGGGGCTGTATAAGCTCCACGCAGAGGGCGGCAACCCCCAAACCTGGGTCCTTCGCTCCCAGTCTCCCAATGTACAACAGCCCACCTAGAGCCTCTCACCCTGGTCCCTGGGAACTTTACAGATCAGAGACAGGCAGTTTCCTTCCCAGCTTTGCTCCTCCCCGGCAGTGGGGAGTCAATTTCCTGAAGCATCCCACCTTCCTCCCCCAACCCCACAAGGCCAACACACACACACACACACACACACACACACACACACACACACGCACACGCACTCCACTGTGTGGGGCAGAGGGTCAGCATCTATAGCCATGCCTGGAACTCCAGTTCGGAGTGCCGGCTCCCACAAGCTCCATCTCCCCGCAGGCTTCTGTCCATCTGTGGACGTCTCTGCGTGCACTCGGTGTTGGCCTAACTCAGTCCCTCTGCAGTCTCGGCTTGGGCCCCTTCCTCTGTCTGGGGCTCTGGCTTTCAGGGGCTGTCTCCCTCCAACTTGCTGCCTGTGTCCTTTGTACTGGGGTGATGAAAAGATGGGCAGGACACCTCCCTGTCATCACCTAGGGTCTGTGCAGAGCAAGGCACTGCTGGCCTGGGGGTTGTCCGTCGCTCCCCCTCCTTCCTGCTCAGGCCAGCCTTAGAACCAGAGCATGGCTAAACGGGAGACAGACCTACCAACAACCAGGCATTGCTAATGCCAGTTTCCATATTGCTTCATCATGCCACTCTGATGCCCCAAGCTGCACACACCGTCCCCCTGATCTCCCTGCCTGAGGCCAGGATAGAGTCCTCCTGGCCTAAACTGCAACAACGCCTTCCTTCCCTCCAGCTCAGAATAAACCCCTCCGCAGCGGCTCTACCCCCACCCCGCCCAGCCCACAGAGCGCAGGGAGCCCTGGCGTCTGACCCAGCCCCCAGCAGCAGCTCTCGCCAGGCCTCGCAAGCGGGGAGATGCAACAGAGTGGTCTGGCGGCAAAGTTCTCCCGCTGCTGTCAACGTTTCCGACTACCTGAAGCTCCCGTCTCTCCGCCCTGCTCTCCGGCCTCACACCGACCCACTCTCCCCGCTCCTCGCCAGTTTCACCCCCACCATCGAAATAAAAAAGAAGAAGAAGAAAGAAAAGAAAACCTCCCGCGATAAGGATGGAGAAAAGAGACGAGGGTGTTCCCACGAGTGCCGGGTGAGGGAGTCGCCAAGTGAGAAAGAAAGGGATGCAAAGTTCCTAGTTACCTCGGCTGCTTTCAGCCCCGCGCCGAGCTCCCACAAATACCGAGATCGCCGAGACGCGGCGCGACCGCCACTCACCTGGTTAGCGCGGCATCTACCCGCGGCTGGGAGGCTCCGAGGCCGGCTCCGCTGGGCGCCCGGGCTCTCCGGCTCGGCCGCGCATCCTTCTCCGCCCAGACTGGCCCCAGCTCAGCCCTTCGGCCCCGCGAACGCAGATGGTGGCCTCGGACGTCCACGCCGGGAGAGCCCTGAGCGGCTTATTCAGTTATATCCATGGTGTTTATCAAAAAGAAGGGAGGAAAAAGCACAACTTGTTCTCTTCTCTTCCAGATTTAAAAGACAAAAAAAAAAAAAAAAAAACAGAAAATGATGATCCCTCCCTAGGAAGATGCCGGTAAGATTTTCCTTATCGAAGAACCCCGAGCATTCCCAGGAACCTCGGGCATCTTGGAATGTGGGGTGTCTTCAAGTTCAGACGAGCCAGCCGGGTTGTGTGTGTGTGAGTGTGTGTGTGTGTGTCTCAGCGAGAGCGAACCAGGCACTCACACCCACACGCACACACACAAACACACTCCCCCGCACTCCCCGCATGCACAGTGCCCCCCGCGCGCGCGCACACGCGCGCACCCGGCCACACGTAGATACACACACACACACAAGCAGAGCGATCGCACGCACAGATCCGGGAGGGAGCCGGGCGGGCTGCGGAGGCAGCGCCGGGCCAGAGGTGGAGAAAGCCCAGCGGCGGGAGGTGCCCGGGATCCCCGGGCCGTGCGCACCTTCCCCGCCGAGCTCTTCGGCCCGGGAGCCCCCAGTGGCGACGGGCGGATATGCAGAAATCGGGAGCAGTCGCTGGGCCCTTGCTCAGCGCTCTCCCTTCCCTGCCGACCCACACGGCTGCCGACACCGGAGGGATACGCGATCCTCGCGGGGCTGGCGCGGAGACGGCCAGGGCAGCGGGCTGCCACCTGGAGGGCCGGGAGGGGGCTGGGGCCGCGGCCCAAGAGGGCAGGGGGCCGGCCGCGAGCTTCGGAAGCAGGGAGGGCGGGCTGCGACCCAGCAGCGAGGGCAGCCCCTGCGCAAGGCGAGCCGGGCGCCCGGGCTGTGCCGCTGCAGCCCGCGCCGGTGCTGCCGCCTCACGTGCGGAGCGCGCCGTGCAGCCTTCAGCCCGCCGCCTGCCGGAGGAAAGCCCGCCGCGCCAGCCCTGGTCTGGGGCTGGGGGCTGGGAGGATCGCGCCCACCCAGCCCCGGGCCCCGCTCTGATTCCCAGACCCCAGCGAGGGACCTGTGAAAAATGAGTTCCCATACGTACACGCAGGCACTTAAGACTTTTCGTGAGTATCACAGCAATCCGCGAGGTGAACAGTGGCGCCAACTGTTTGCCCAGCACCTTTACAACTCTTTCCTTGTTTGATCCTCCTAGCTCTTCTCATCTGACATATGAGGAAGCTGAGGCACAGAAAGGTAAAGCGACTTGCCAAGCGTGTGGCAGGTAGTTGAGTCTCTACTCCAAGTGGACTGTGTATGGGCTTAGCATCAGAAGATAAGGGTCTGGCCAGGCCAGGGGCTCCTCTTCCTTTGGTTATCCTTTCCATCCAACTGGAATCAGCAACTAGTTCCTGGGAAGCTTAGACTGGGCTCTGCCTTCCTGGGCTTCCCAAGAAGTACATGTATTTGTCCCACTGAAGGAACTGAAATCCTGAGATTCCTGCCAATATGGTACCCCAGCTGGTAAATCCAGGGCAGAGAGAGTATCTCAATCCATCTCTTCTGTCCTAGTGACTAACACTTGCCATGCACATGTTCCAGATACCCACGGGGAGGGCACATGTGGTATATGGATATGTCTCTGCAGCCCAAGATTGGCTCAGCTGGATATAAGACCCTGCCTCTTTGTCTATGCACATGGAGGGGTGCATATCTGCAGAAGCCCAGGCCCTATGGGCTGGGCACATGTGCATTCAGGAACATTGCCAGATCAGAATATTGCAGACCCTGAAAGACTGGCCCTTCCTCCCTGCAGGGATTCTGGAAAGCCGGGGTAGGAGAGTGGACAGGTGTGGGGAGAAGGGCATTGCCAGGATGAAACTCAAGGTATGTCAGAGTGCAAGAAGAATTCGCTAGTGCAAGAAAATAGAGGCAGACACTAATGGGATGGGGATAGAGGAAGGGAAGAGAAATAAGAAGAGGAAAGAGGTAGGAGGGGGAGGTGAGTAGGGTGTGGGGGTAGGAACAGAAGAATTAGAAGAGAGGAGGAAGGGGAAGGGACAAAGCAGAAGGAGATCACCATGGAGAGTGTTTTCTTCCTATTTTACCTGCAATTTTACATATGCAGGGAGGGGGGATTAGGAGTGGAAGGAGGAACTATTATAGCCCAGGCTCAAGTCTGTGAATTCCCCTAAGGGTCAGGGCAGCAGGCTAGGTTATATCCTTGCCCCACAGCCACCCATGAAAGGACCAGAATCTAGTGACAGGGATAGGACGACGCTGGTACCAGAGCAGAGATGGAACTGCTCCCAGAAATCAATACAACATTAGACTTGGAGCAGGGGCCAGGGCACCCAGGCATGCTGATGGGATGGCTCAATCCCTGCTCCAAACTGAACCCAATACCCCATCCAGAAGTTTCCCCACCTCAGAGAAAGAAATGGATATTCTCTGAAGGACCAGGATCTGGATCATTTTCTATGTTCTGGGCAATTCTGAGGACAAGTGGTTTATTTTTCAAATTATTTCTGCCTCAATTGAGCTCTGACAGTGGGCTAGATGTCAGGCGGCCTGGATGTTTACCACGGCTTTGTACTAACGAGCAGTGAGAGGAGTCCTTCCCTTCAAAGGGGTTGGGCTGTGGGCTTCCTAAGGGCCTCCCCAGCCATAGAGACCCCTGAGCAGCCTTGGCAGATGCAGCAGGGTGGGGACCCAGAAGAACCTTCAGAGGCCAGGAGAAAACCAGTCTGCAGTCACCATGTACAGTGGAAAAACCCTCAGAAAATGAAATCCACACTTCAATAACGGACATTGACATGGATGGTGGATTTCTTGGTTCCTTGGTCTGGGTAGGGGCACTGCTGGGGCACTGGCGGTGACCCCAGACAGGAGCCAGGGCTTCCCAAAGGGGTGATTCTATCATTCTGTAGGAAAGTGGCAGAGGGAGGGGAGGAGGGTAAGGGGAAGAGGAGGAGAGAGTGGTACTAGGGAGGAGAGCTTGTACACAAGCCATTCTAATCATGGGCATTTGGTTCTTCTATTCCACATTTTCAATCTTCTAAATAACCCTGTGATGAACATCTTTCTGAGTAAGCCTTTGCCCACATTTTTGTTTCTTTGTTTGAGCTAGATTCCCTGGAGTTGAATCACTGGGCAGAAGGGTACAAACATTCTTAAGGCTCTTTGTATACACTTCTTTGCTTCAGTTTTAGTCAGGGCCCTGATATGCAGGGTGGGTAAATGATCTCCCAGAGAGCTTCCAACAGGTGCTTGAGGATGTGGTTGCACCCCCTTTCATGTCTCTGCTGCAGAGAATGATCATGCCTTGTAATTCATGCTGCACATCGGCCTGCACTGCCTTTTTGAATGTAACTCTAACGTCCCAATATGAAGACAGTTCAAATTTCTCCTGCCCCCAGGCATGACTTATCTTCCCCTGCTCTCCTGGGCACTCGTGACCAGCTCCACCCTGTTGTCTGCATCCCTTGGTTTTCTGGCTGGACTATGGCCACAAATGCCCCAGCACATTCCTGGGCACAGAGTTGGCTTCCAGTACCCACTTGCTCAATGGGGTCACCATGCCCCATAAGAATAATTCTCAGGAGGAGCTGAAGGTGGAGAGGCATCCAGCCAGAGAAAGAGAAGGCTGAGTGGGCCTGGGCCTTTATAACCTAGAGAAAGACCCCGTGTAAAGGACCATGGGGAGACTTTCTTCTCTGTATCTGTATCTTTTTCATCCAATATGAAAAAAAAAAGGGACTGGCATAAAAAGCAATGAGGGATTCAGGTTAAATGACAGGACAGAGCTAGGTACCAGAAGCTATGGAATCACAGGATGGGTACTGCTGAGCCTGCTCCATTCAAGAGACGCAGTCTGCAATCCAGGAATGCACTAGATGCTTCTCAGAGTCTCTCTTGGCACATCATGGTCTGGAGGGTGACTCTGTGGGCCAGGGGCGTAAGAGAGATCCTGGGGTACAGTCTCAGACCCTGAGACATCCCTCTGCTGAGTCTATTGCATGGGCTGGAAGCAAGGAGCCACTCCAAATTCTTAGTGCCCCATTCACTCCACTATCCCTAGGACCAACAGCCAGCCTCACCCAGTTTATCCCTCAGGCCTTGGAGAACTTGGGCAAATGCATCCTCAGGAGCTGGGGCCAGCCCTGGGGTGCACTTTCTAGAGATGGAGGTCCACTGTCTTTCAATCCTGCAGTGCCCTCCACCCTTCCTCCCTTCTCAAATGCTAGAGTAAGAAGCAGCCCAAATAAATTCCTATTAGTATGCATATGTATTCCCAAATTCCTTAACAGAATGACTAACACCACCTACAGCCATTAACTCTGAGTTTGTTTTCCAAATCCAGTTTACTTTTCATCAGCAAGCCCTTTGTTTACCTCCCCCACCCTAGCCTGATGGGCTCCCTTCTCATCTTCAACTTCCTGCCCCAATACCAGGTCTGAAGGTGGGTTCCTGATGCATCAGTAGGTCAGAAGGTCCTGGGAGATCATATTCAGTCAACAGACAGGTCTTTCCTGAGTACCTTCTGTGCACCACGTAGCTCTCCACAAATCCCATAGGGAGAGAGAGGGAAGGAGAAGGCAGAGTCTCTTCTTGGAGAGGAGGGATGCTAACCAACACTGGCACAGTCCCTTGCAGTCTATAAAAGCACTCCCAAACACGACCTCACTTGCTCGTCAGAACAACTGCACGAATACGCCATTATCCCCATTTTCCAAGCAAAGACACTAAGTCCTATACAGGTAACACGATGGATCCAAGAGTTTGGTGCTCTTGCTGGATGGCACTGGATTTCACACCAAACCTTCCAACTCCACATCCCAGGCTCCTTCCTGTGTATAAGGCACCTTTTCTAATACTAGCTTGGATACCACTGAGTAGCAAGTTACCTAGTGCAGTGTGAAGTGTGGCAGACACCTGGCAAAGGGAAGGCCAAAACAACCAGGGCCAGCCTGGTGGAGGTTCCACAAACCTGAATTTTCCACCCTGGCAAATGCACAGAGTTAGGAGATGGTGGAATTGTGGGATAGTGTGGTAGAAAGAGCACCAGAGGGCAAGATAGAGGACCTGGATTCTGGTTCTTCAGTGTGACCTTGGGCAGCTGTTCCTCTCTCTGGGCCTCAGCTTTTCCATCTCTAAAATGGGAGAGTCAGAGCTAGATGATCCTGAGGTTCCAATGAAGAGCAATAAAGAACACAGCCATCTGGAGTGGGATTTCAGACAACAGGTGTCATTGACTTTCCTGGGTTTTGCCTCCTGCCAGGAAATCTCCAAATCTTAAGGGAAATATTGAAGCAGAAAACACTGACGACAGCTCCTAGCTCCACCGAAGTGCATGCCACAGTCCTCCCAGCACCTCACCAGACCTCCTTGCCTCCCCCAGGCTCCTCTCTTTCCGTCAGGCAATGACAGTGCTGGGCAGCATTCATGCAACACTGAGCATCAGCCACTCCACTCTGTCCTGGACAAAGGCTGTTTTATTTAATTCTCACAAAACCCCCATGAGGCAGGTACTGTTATTATCCCTACTTCACAGATATGAAAACTGAGGCACAGAGAGGCTGAGTAACTTGCTAAGTCAGAAAGCTGGCAGGGAACAGCCAGAATTCTAACCCAGGCTCTCTAGCTCCAGAAATTGTACTAGAAGAGACTGTGTGTGAATTAAACCTGTTGACAGTGAATCAAGGAAAAATGGCCATCCCAAGCTCCAAAATGGACAGGGTAGATTCCCTCCTTTCACACCAGCTCTTAGTCCCTTCCTTCGCCTCTCCCTGCCTTCTTTTATATATTATTTGGAACATATAGCCATAAGTATGTGGTTTGCTTTATAATCCAGTCAGCTGTGGAA